TATATATATATATATATATCTTATTTTACTTCATAATTTTTTGATGAAAGATAATAACGATGGTCTTAATGGCTGCGAAATAATTGCCACGACCGCGATAACATATTTGAATCGGAAATTATTATGTTTTGTTGCTACTGCGCTGAGCGTACTTTGTGATATAATTGTTACTATTATGTTGTACAATAGTAACACAGAAATAGTCTCTCAAACAATTATTTGCAGTCTCTTAAACCAAAATCTAGATATTATTAATACTTATTTTCTATTTCATTATTTAAAGCAACTGATATGAGATACTTTAAATTATTTACTAATAAGATATTTCGTGCAGGATAATCGAATATCTTGTTTTGTTGTTTTGGTTTGTTATAAAAAAAGAGTGAATACATGATCGATCAATTACATTGAAATGGAAACAGATACGGAATTTTATAGACGGATATGGAATTACAAGATCGATAAGAAAAAGTCAAATACAGTTACAAAAAAAGAAATACAGTTTCATATTATAATCGCAGCACACATTAATTTAAAGGAAACTATATCATTATACATTACTTCTACAGAAATTTATAATTTGCTCCTTGACACATAATACACCCTTTTCTCTTACGATATTGCTCGTATATGAATGTAATGGATACTATGTCTATGATATAGTGCAAGGGAAAAAAGAAAGAAAAAGAGAATTGTCACAATATTCAAGAGTTCCCGATTTTTTATATTAACCATGAGTGATAATTAAGTTATTTGAGATGAGTGAGAACTGTGATTTTTTATAGTCTTGTAGAGATAGCTTCAAGCAAATTTTCAAGAGACAAGTTTACAAGATTGCGCCGTATACACAAAATGTGAAGTTAAAGAAATGTGTACCTATTCTTCAAGACTGGTAATCGTTGTGTTTTAATAAAGAAGTCACAAAAAAGCATAATGTTTTGTATTCGAGAAAGTACGAACTTTACAGAGGATTTTTCTTTATTAAGTCGAAATCCATCGTAAGTTGTTTCAAAACTGACATTTACATAAATAATAAAACATTTAAAGCTCCCAATTAGTCACCGTGATAATATTGAATTGTGAGGTCGTAAGAAATGAGACGTGGAAGTTTCTTGCATAACTATCCCTCCTGCCTTTCCCCCGAATCATAAAGTGAAAATAGGCTTAAAATCTTACGCGTATTTTTTTGCCTTTTATATCTATTTACTATGAGAGAAAAGCATAATTTTGGCTTATTTTTATAAATGTTTTAAAGCAATTATCTCATTATCTTGTTTCACTCAAGCTTTTTATTTATAAATGGTATGTAAGAAATTTCAACGTGTCATTTCTCGCTTATGACAGCATGACATAATAGAGCTGCGGCGACTACTTAGGAGTCATACTAAAAAATGATAAGGCCTAATTTCTTGATTTATATCCCAATGTTTTTTCTTTACAGTAGCAGTTGATTATCTTACTCCGCTGATGTGGTTGATTTTGTTTCATAACGAGATGAAACAAAATTCTTTTCAACATTATAAAAATTCTACAAAAAGGTCAATCTACAACCCATTTTCGATGTATTTGTGAAAACGCAAGATTTCGCCTGTTGTATTCTTCTGAGGAGTAGCTGCAAATGAAGTTTTCACGTTATGCACTGCACAGCTATTGTATTCAATTTACAAAAATGAAGAAACATATATTCATCTACTTTATACTTTGTATCTGTGATATTGAAATTACATACCATGTTATCATTTTCTATCTTCTTTTGCAACTTCTTCCTATTTATCGCGGAACTACTAGTCCTAGATTGAACGGTATCCTCGCCAAGAATTTTGTGCCGAGGTTTTTGTTGTGCCATAATCTTCCTCAGCAGTAGCTCGTTCTCCCGCTCGATCTTACGCATTTCCTCGTCGGTGAAGCTCATATTCCACCGTTTGCACTTCCTTGACTTGGTAAATCTATCTCTATCTGCTGTGGTGGCGCGAGGCAGTTCATCACTGGACAAATAAGACTCATCCTGGCAATTGTCTTTCCAACTCTCACTAATTCTAATTTCCTGTTCCTTTGAACTCTGGCTGAGGGGGAGATCAGTGATATGGATCAGAGACGAAGTATTCAGCGATCCTGACGTGACATTTGTAACTTCGGATTCATCGCAGGATTCGTCAGAGCAGAAAGACTCGCCTATATACACGGATTCATCGTCTGACGTGTCCTTAGTCTTCTGCACAACTTCATCACCTTCTTCATCCGAACCAAAAAGATCTAGCTGGTCTAAAGCCGTCATTTCTTCAGTCTCGCTCTCTGCCTCATCGATCTCGTGAATATTTGGGATGTTATTGAAGCTGTCTTTCGTCTCTTCTTCAAGAGCGTATCGACATTCGCAGATGGTGTTTATTTCATTCTGCTTCGCCATAGCGATTATCGAAGGAGGCAGAGTGAGATCAGCAAAGAATGCGAAGTTCCCACGATGACCGCGCGATGAAACAAAATGTGACTTATATGGCTCGAATAAAACCTGAGCCAAATGGTAACTATGCCGACCGAACGGTCAACAAAAGTTTCATACTTGATACGCTCGAGAATTCTAATCAATAAATCGATTCCGAATATAATCGATAGGATAACGTATAATGTTCAGCTGAAATGTGCAGCCTATTTTTTTATATTGATATTTTCAGAAATTTAATGAATATGTTTCATAAATTAAAATATTTCTTTCCAAATTCATTTTTCATATATATCTTATCAAATCATAATATTCATCAATCTTTTATATTCACATTTAAATACATAAAAATTTAATATTTTAAATACAGTTCTGTTTTTATATCACATCGTAATCTCTATTATGGGATAATGATAGTGAAATATCATTTAAGTTTACTTATAAAATATTGTTTTATACTTATGAAATATGACAATATTTCTCGAAAGCAATACGGACCCAAAACAAAAGATACAAAACAATGAAATTCAATCATTTGCAAAACCAAATACCTTTAAACTACCGGCATCGCGTTTCCGATCGTAAGAGTCCTTATCGTCACACGCATAAGCTAAGAGATATTGTTTTGGATGCCATGCAACAGTGAATGTTGCTGCTTCTACTGGAACATCAGCAATTTTCTCGCCAGTTTGCACTTCACCGATATCTATGACTAAGTCCTCGGAAGCCGCTGCCAGGAGTTGTCCATCATATGAGAAAGAGATAGTCCTAACTGGCCACTCTAGCCGCGAGAACGTCCTCAAGCAACACAACTCGTCGGCATCCCACAGAGAAACCAGTGCATCTGCGGATCCAGTGGCGAAATATCGGCCGGTTGGATCAAACTCAATGCAGATACAAGTACCTGGATGCGCCTTGATCACATGCAACAACTCCAGCTCGGGATAGCTAAGTATATGCACGCAACCCTGGCCGTTTGTCAGATAAAACGTATCTGAATCCTTATTCCACGAGATCTCGTTTACCTCGAAGTTAAACTGCTCTTCCGCACGTATTTTCATCACTCGGGCATCGATGAATGTGACCAAGTCTTCCTTATTTCCTACAGCAATCGTGTTACCATCTGGCGACCATGATATATTAATATTTTCTCCTCTAGTGCTAATATTCGCTGTACACTTTTGTGTTCTTGTATCCCAGATGCGAACTGTCTTATCTCCACTTGCAGTAGATAATAATTCTGGACAAAAAGCATGCCAGCACAACTGGTCTACGCTACCACCATGTCCTCTGAAAGTCGTTTCCTGCTTCTGAATTAAAAAAAAAGTATTTTAAAAACTTCATAATCAAAACCATGATTAGAATCACGTTAATATTAAAAATATAATTATTATAAATAATTAATATTAAAAATTAAAGGTTTTAGATGACTTCATTTCAAACGATAAAGTTAATTATTTTCTAACTTGAAAATTTTTAATATTTAAAATGCAATTTTTTAAAACGTATTCAAATTCAAATAGACACAAAAAATTTTAAATAAAATCATAGAAAATATTCCGATGTCACTTGATTCTTGTTTTCATTTCAAACTTCTTTTTTAAGAATAACTACACCAAAGAAAGGAAATAAAAGCAGTATTATTAAACTTATTGTAGTTGTATGCTCCCTTAAAACAACAAAATTTAACATTTTCTTTTACAAATCAGAAGGAATCGTCCAAAAAGGGTAACTATATCATCTGATACTGTTTGATCATTTTAATATCGGCTGTTATATATATATTAATATTCAGTTCTCTACTGTAATTATCGAGTTTACAGATAAATAATTAATGAAAGAAAAATGCTTCAAATAAAATATATATAATGCGTCAATATAAATATAATGCGTTAAGTTGTATGGAAAATATCACGGAAAATTTTTATTTTATAGGAAGGCAAATCGCGTCGCGTGAAAGGAATCGTCATAGGTTATGTTTACTAACCAAACGATCCGGGCACAGCGAGAATATACAAACGGACTTGTCGAAGGAGCCCGAAGCTAAGTATTTGCCGTCGCAACTCCATCCTACGCTGTGTACTTTCGCCGAATGGCTCTGTTGTTCTCGAATTTTATTGTGTGACTTAAAATAATTAATTAACTCCTCCACACGCGAAGTACTAACGGCCATCGTTATCCGAATTCCGACATCAATCACAAAAAATTACGAACTCCATTGACTTTGTTCTTTTTAGCTAAAGTTTAAAAAGAACAGACCCTTCGATCCCTTTTATATTGAATATTTGATACGCGTACCAATCTAACTTAACTAAAAGTTAAAGTTACTAAAATTACTAGTAACTTTCTATGAAATAATCTCAATTTCAGAAATTTATTTGAAGACTGATGTTCTAAAAAAATTAAATACAATATGCATGAAAATGATTAATTAAATACGCATATCACGTATATGTTTACATATATATATGATATCACCGAAATTAAGATAATTCAATAGAAAGTTACTAGTTTAGCACTTGTATCGAATGCGTGATGTAAACTAGGCCCTCGATCGAGGCTGCGTTCGCTTTGACGCTCACGAGAGCTTGAGAGCATCAATTGTCCTTGTTTAATATTTAAGATACGGTTAATGCGATGCTGCAAACGTTTTGAAGCGTTTTTTAACTGGTCAGTTTATAAAATTCTTTCTTCTTGGTCCATCAAATGCTTCAAACCATTTGTAGCGAGACTTTGACTACAGCCTTAATAAGCAACAAGGATGAAACGATGTTTAAAGCGTCGTGAGCGCCGAAGCGAACGCAACCGAGTACACCAATAAGCGAGCGTTCTAACCTTACTTGAAACGTACGTGAATTGCATAAATATGCAGCGATACAACATTAAAGGTGGACAATGAGAACCTGAGCGAATATCGGACTCAAAGAAAGGAATTTAAAGAGTGCGTGTCGTCTGTGACTTCGTCGACGGATAGACGTCGTGAATCAGACTGCGGTCACAAGTTAATACAAGTAGATAGTTATCACGGGATAGCGATGGGTATACCGACTGGTAAAAACGTCGAGGCGATGGACGTGGATGTGAATCCGTCGGACACGCAGAACGCCAACGGCGATGGTGATGGCGCGGGTGAACGCAGGGACACCGATATGCAGACTTTGTGCGACATTCGGGAGCACACGCGGCAAATCGAGAAAGCGGTGCAGAATAAGGAGCCACGTTTCGTCCTCCGTGCCCTTCGCGCCTTACCCAACACCCGTCGTCGTCTTAATCCGGTCGTGCTGCGCGGCCTCGTCACGGGCTTCTACACCAAGTCCGCTGTCGAACGGGACGCCCTGCTCGCTTGGGTGGAGGAGCCGATGGACGTGGACGATTGCCAGGCCATCACCCAGAAGTTCCGCAGTTCCTCGGCATCTCTGTTGCCTGAGATCGACGGTTATATTCATTTGTTGGTGTTGATTCGACTAATCGACACTGGCAAGTACAACGAGGCAGTACAATGCTCGGAACAGCTGGTCCAGAAGATTGCCGCGCAGAACCGTAGGACCATAGATCTGATTGCCGCCAAATGCTACTTCTATCACTCGCGCGCTTACGAACTTACGGATCAGCTGGACAAGATCCGCGGCTTTCTACATCTTCGTCTGCGTACTGCAACTCTACGCAACGACTTCGAGGGTCAGGCGGTGCTGATCAATTGCCTGTTACGCAATTATCTGCACTATAATCTCTATGATCAAGCAGACAAGCTGGTGCTCAAATCGACTTTTCCTGAATCGGCCAGCAACAATGAGTGGGCTCGCTTCCTCTATTACCTCGGCAGGATAAAGGCCGCCAGATTGGAGTATTCGGCTGCTCACAAGTATCTAGTACAAGCGATGCGCAAAGCGCCGCAGACTACGGCGGTTGGATTTAGACAAACTGTACAGAAATTGGCGGTTGCCGTGGAGCTTCTCCTTGGCGACATCCCAGAGAGACAGATATTCCGGCAGGCCGCTCTACGGAGAGCCCTTGCCCCGTACTTTCAATTAACACAGGCAGTACGTCTGGGTAATTTGCAACGTTTCGGTGAGGTCCTGGAAAACTTTGGTCCGCAGTTCCGCGCGGATCACACATTCACACTGATCTTGCGGCTGCGACACAATGTCATCAAGACTGCGATTCGTTCAATTGGGCTCTCCTATTCGCGCATCTCGCCAGCTGACATTGCTCGCAAACTAGGATTGGACTCCAGCGTGGATGCAGAGTTTATTGTGGCTAAGGCGATCCGTGACGGTGTTATTGAGGCCACCTTGGATCCAGAGAATGGTTACATGCGCAGTAAGGAGACCACGGATATTTACTGCACCAAGGAACCACTGTTGGCCTTCCATCAAAGAATCACCTTCTGTCTGGACTTGCACAATCAGAGCGTGAAAGCGATGCGTTACCCACCGAAATCTTACGGGAAGGATTTGGAGTCTGCAGAAGAGCGCAGAGAGCGGGAACAACAGGATCTTGAGCTGGCCAAAGAGATGGCCGAGGAAGATGACGATGGTTTCCCTTGAATCCTTCGAATTCATGTCTGCTTATTTTAAACAAAGTGGAAGATTGGGAGAAAACATAGCGTTTCTAGAAAAGATATTAGAAGACGTGCTTTTCTAAAAAAAAAAAAACATTTAATTGAACTAACATTGAATTTATTGAATTAATGAACTATAAAGATCGTGACGTTTGTACTCTCTATGCATTTTCGTGCATGCTTTGTAAATGTCAATAATATATATGACTTAAGATATAATGTCAAGCACATGTAATACATGTATGAAATGATAACGTTGCAATCAATTTAATAAAGTAAATCCTTCATTTATATTATTATATCAAGAATCTTACTTTGACCAATAATTGTAATAAATTCCTAATAATTAGATAATATATATAAAAACAAAAGAAGAAATGGCACTAATTTGATATATTTTCAATTCTGTGATCTTCAAGTCATTTTTTATAATTTTTATATATATCAATAAAAATCATTTATGTTAAATTTATTTATAAATGAAAGGTTGTATAATTTATATTTTTAAAACTTGAGGCCTTGTTGCACCAACATTACTTTGACTTTAAGTGAGACTTAAAACTTTCTCTTTTTAAAGTTGAAAGGAAACAGAGATGGAGAAAAATTTTAAGCCTCGCTTGAAGTTAAAATACATTGGTGCGCAATCTTAAGAGAATAAAAAGTAACTAAAAAGTCAACCTCATCATTCAAAAATCAGCTAACTTGCTTATAGTGAATTCGATTAAATGCACTCTGCCGTCGTATACAAAATAACAGATAAAAGATATATGTTTATAAATAAACATGGAAATTGATAAATTGTGAAATACCTAATGCATTTTATTGTACTATTAAGTAAAATATATGTTTCATAATTCGAAGTACTTGCATTTCATTTTTATACTCAAATTAAATCAGTGTACAACAGGTTCAATATGCACTAATGCTTCCAATCGAATTCGTCATTAAATTTTAATTGGTCGCTTAATAGGGAATTTCATGAACTTGTAGAGCATTGTAAAATTTACTTGGCGCACGAGTCGCCAATCTATGTATCACAATATTACTGTCTGTCAGATGAGTTGTCATTTATCTGACTTATAAATAATCATTTTCCGTTACATACGTATAGTATTTAATGTCAAAGCGGCGTACTACGCAAGACAGACCAATATTGTCTCACGTGGATATGTCATTTCTTATCCTTATAAGTAGCTGAGTGTAATAATATCATGGCGAGTATTATCGAGGAAATATCTGTATCCACGAATAACAGAGGTAATCTTCTCCTTGCTAATGTATACTGATTATGAATCACACAATCAACTGCTGAAAAACAATTACAACCGCAGAGTGATTAACTGCAGGAATACTCTTCTCGAATATTGTTACTTCAGAATATGCGACTCCAAAGACATCGATATCCTACGAGGAGATAGCAACGAAACTTCTAAACGAGAAGCTTTTCTTGACGGCTTTGGAATTGCATGCTGAATTATGCGAAGCTGGCAAGGAGCTGTCCATCCTTAAGGAATTCTTCTCAAATCCAAACAATTTCGAGAGCTCCAATATCAAACCAGAGCCATATACTTCAATGCGTATGTATCTTGTTTTTTAATCACGAAATCAGACTTACTTTGTTAGAACCCTAAAGTATGGCAAGTAAGACAATTGCCTTGTACAAAAAATTTGAAAACGATTTTAATTTGCAAACAATATGGAATTTTTGGAAACATCATGCTTATATTTCTATCCTTAAAATCTATCCTTAAATTGTCTGTAAATTATAAACTTTGCTTATGTTATTTCTTTACTTTCTACGTCTGTTTATTATATTTCACATTGTATATACTTTTAACATCAGATTATCATTTTAATACTGATTGTCTCTGATTTAATTTTTGATAATATAGTATTATTGCTTAACGATAAAACAGACATTATAAAATATTACATATAAATGAAATATTAGCCAGATCTTCTAGTCAGGCTACCTTGGATTCGTTGGATATGACTCGATATTCAGAGGATGGAGCTGGCGTCGACGAAAGAGTAGCCATTCTTGAATTCGAATTACGCAAAGCCAAGGAAAATATTTCTGCTCTGCGTGCTAATTTGACTGTAGTAACAGGTATGTCTCACTTGAATGATAAAATCTTTTAACTTATAATACAGTTTTTAATTAATAATACTTAAAATTTCAGAATTGGAGGGTACATTGAAGACCCCAGACAAGAACTCTAAAAAAAATTTGATTACTGAACTGCCCATAAAACCGCATGAGCAGCGAGCGCTGAATTTTCTCATCAATGAATATCTATTGGCAAGATCATATAAACTCACCTCGATCACATTCAGCGATGAATGCGAAGAGCAGGATTTCGAGGACTGGCAAGATGTGGGATTAAATATTCCCAAACCTACGGAATTGTTGCAGATATATCGGGAATACATGAGAGCCAACGGATATGACAAACTTCCATCCATAAGCGTTGCTATGCAAACGGACTTTGTTATCGAAGATGTTGAGGAACAGAAGGATGAATCTTTGGAAATGGTTTGTTACTTTAATAAAGCTTCAGAAGTTTTAAAATGTTTAAATTCTGGATTGCTTAAATTTGTGAATTTTCTAAGAGCTCTATTTT